ATTGTATTGGAATCAATACTAATAAATGGGACATGCATCAAAGAGGGATTTAACAGGACACCGATTCCCAGAACACATTTCAAACATGGGCAAAAGAAAAAAGGATATGGCTGAAACCCATTAGAACACTGTGACCTCTGGCACTGTGAACAGGCCTAACAACTATAAGTTCAAATCCCATTTCTGATACAGACTTGCTAAGCCTTGTCACTACTTTCTTGTTCCTCTATTTCATCACACATAAACTAAGTTTTAATAGTTTATACACATCTGATGTTATAAATCACAGTTGTGCTCATTTGGGTATGGCAAAAATATGTGAAATTTTAAAAATGTATTATATCCAATAGACCTCTAAATTACTTTTAACTTCAATGAAGACTGCCTCATCAAAATCTAAATAGAATTTTTCTTTTTGAAGTGGTAGTGGGTATATGACAACACATTTCTAAAATGTATCTGAAAGACAAACTTCAAAGTCACACATATTTCTCAAAAATATGGATAATGGTAAGTAACTTGCCCTAGAAGAGGGAAAAAAACTTTTTTTTTCCCCCATTTGGAGAGAAGAGGGAACTCAATAGAACGCAAGACTATAGTTAGCCTTATACAATCAACTGAGTGAGTGCTTTACTTATCCCACCTACAATATATTTATTCGAGTATCTAAAACTAGCATAAAATACTTTTTTAAAACCTTAGAAAAGAATTTCCAATATTTGGGCCTGCCTTTATATTTTTAAGATAATAGCATGGCACTTACATTTTTTTTCTTTCAGAAACCTGATACTTCTGAGTCTAAGAGAATGCTTATTGTGAAAATAAAAAACAGATGTTGGAGCGAATAATGGAGAAAGCAGAGTTAAACTGCCTCTGATTAGCTCTGTATTCTAGCCCAAGTTCACTAACAGATTGTGTGACTCTAGAAAAGTCATTTTACTACACTATACTCTTCATTGGTTTAAAAAAAAAAAAAAAAAAGCAACTGTAAGAAGTTTACCTACCTATCTAGAATCTTTATAGAAACTGTTTTAGGAAATCTTGGAAAGGAAAGGAGAAAAAAAGAATAAAAGAACAGATATTTCCAACTGCAAAAGAATAATATAGAACATAAGGAAAGTAGAGAAATCAGAGCAGGACAAGGGAGACAGAGACAGTATTCATGGAGAGTTAGAGTGAAACACTAAGGAAGATAATCCCAAGGAACTTGTTAATTTTCAACCAAAGAAAACACAGATCACTTACCAGTTACTGAATGGTAACAAGTGACTCCTATAGCTAATTACCAGATACAAATTTAAATATTAAATCATTTAATCTTTACAATACTAATAAAGAGGTTCTGTTATTTCTGTTCTAAAACAAGAAAATTGAGGCACGGAGATTAGCTAACTTGGGTAAAATCCCAGGACCAGAAGTGGCAGAACCAGCTCTACAACAGTTTCCTATACTGACAACGTGGTGATGGGCCTAAAAGTTAAACATGAACACTTTAGGATGCTACCACAGGTCACACAGATGCGACTATCTTAAAGAGGTCAAGTATTAAGAGTATAGGCATAAACTATGGGAAAAATACTAGTGCAAGGATGAGCAAGCAAGACACACATGAAATGTATGAGCAGCTAGATCTTTAAATATTCTATAAATTTTAAAATGGGCTTTAGAATCTAATTTCTTAAGAATTCTAAATGACTTGAAAATCATTGAAACACACATTTAATTGAACATTTTATGGTATAAGAGAATGCAGAAATATCCTAAAGGAACAAAGAGCCATTATAAATGGAATAGGAGGAACTACCATGTGATATATATTATGTGCAAGGCACTATAAATTTTATTTACATTCTTTATCTCATTTAATCCTCACAACACAGTAAATACAGTATTATCACCTCCATTTTAAAAAGACAAAAATTAAGGCTTGAGGAGATTAACAACCCATCTAAAGTCAAGCTAGCAATTAGTAAATTTATAGTAAACACTAGGAAAACTGTAGAATACACAAAATACACTTAATAGAATGGATATTTGCTAAGCTTGGATCAAATTTAATCCCACAGAACTCAAAGGAAATCTTTTTCCCCCTCAAGATCATTCAAAAGACCAGACTGCCAGTGAAGCTGTCATGACTACAGATGGGGAAAGAAATTAAAGGAATGTGGTACAGTTGTCCTTATTGCTTTGGATATATCTTATCTATATTCCCTCTTGCTGCCTCTATACATGTGGTCAAAGGACCATTCAAAGGGACTGTCAAATCTGAACAAAGGGAATATATGAGTGAAAAACCCAAGGTGTGAACATTACAACTATTATGAAAACATACATGCAAGTGTTAGCAATGCCAACTCATTCATCTAACACTAAAAGACAGTGGGCTGAGGTGGGCGGACTGTCTGAGGTCAGGAGTCCAAGACCAGCCTGGCCAACATGGTGAAACCCTAACTCTACTAGAAATAGAAAAATTAGCTGGGTGTGGTGGCAGGTACCTGTAATCCCAGCTACTTGGGAGGCTGAAGCAGGAGAATTGCTTGAATTTGGGAGGCGGAAGCTGCAGTGAGCTGAGACTGTGGTACTGCACTCTAGCCTGGGCAACAGAGGGAGACTAAGTCTCAAAAAAAACAAAAAAGAAAGACAGTAGTCAGGCATAATCAAAATATACTCTGAAGTTCTTGGTTTTTGTTTTATTAGTAAGAAGAAAGCAAATATAATTTGTATGGAATTTTATCTCATCTTACTGACAGGCAGTAAGAAGGGAGATCGCTAATAAAAAGGAAATATATTAAATAGAGTAAGAAGCAACATAGAATAGGATATTTTTATTGTATAGATGGGAATATGTTAGGGAGAAGATAAATATCACACACAGGGAAGGGCAGAGGAAGCTAGACATCCCTTCCTTGCCTCCACTTCCATGTAAAGAAACCACAGGGCGAGGTTTAAAAGAGGAGGATTATCGACATAGGGCAAATGGGACAGTTTAGGGCTTTTCTCCTGAGGTTTCTTATACATTCCAAAGGAATGGAAAAGGAACACCAAGTATTTATAGACTGCTATCACTTCACAGAAAAGAGAGACAGAGAACATCCAATTTGCTTCTAGGTTGTCCAACTCAGATCATCAAAAGAGTAAAAAATGAGGTAATTTAAGAGAGAACTTCTGGCAAGATATAAAGATTGTACTTATTCACACATTTTCCTTGTGCTATAGGAATCCGAACACGTGGATGGTGTGCAAGAGGGAAAGAAACTTTACAATTGCTTGATGTTGCGAGAAAAACATGGAGTCAGGACCAAGAACTTCACTACTGATGTGATGATGAGCAAGCCTGCTAATATTTTTAATGTTCAGTTACCAAACATGTAAAATGAAAAATACTTATCCTCCTTAGGGCAAAAATCATTAGGTGCAACAAATATAAGCAAAGCTTTTATGGCTAAAAGAAGAAGGTATAATAAAGAGAAAATAATAAATTCTGATTCTGATCATAAAAAAAGTCAAATTTCAAATTTGTTTTTATAAAATAAATTGAAACAGAATATGAACATATTTGTAGCTTTTAGAGATAAATTAGCTGAGAATATATTATTTTTAAAAACTGTAATAAACAAATGCACACTGAATACAAATCAGTAACTATCCTTAAAAAACAAAATTTTAATGCTAGAAGAAAATGCAGATCATCTCGTTTAAGATATAAATGTAAAATTCTTAACAAAAACCCTGTTATTCAAGAGAACACATAAACAGCTGCTCTTTTTAATAAACCTGAGGGTGGGCTTGCTTTGTCTCTCCTTGCATGGCCCCAGAAAATTTCTACAGGAGTTCTCCTATGGAACAGTTTTAAAACCACAGACTGAGTAATACCACTAATTTCTAAAAAATGAGGAGAATATGGTGAAGAGGTAAAGTTCTTCAAAGGCAACCAGAGTCAGGACTAGAACCCAACTCTCTTTATTTTTTAAGAAGAAAATATGAAGTTTTTTTTTTTTTTTTTTTTGACTTTGTAAATACTTCTTTCAAATCTCCTCTGGCTCAAGATCACTCAACTGTAATCTTTCTGTAAACAAGTAACTGATAATATAGGTGAGATCAAATAAGTTAAAAACAAGTCAGTCACCCTAAGTTCATTCTGTTCAGAATTAAGTAAAGGTAACATTTGTAGGGGAAGGTGTTCAGACTACAAGCTGCGGTGCTGAGAGAGCCCCAGTATCCTTGTAATTGCCTGAAAACTTCAAGATAAAAAGTATTTCCATGGGGCATCATGGAATTTTAACAGGATGTGTTAGACTTGAACGTTCAACAGCTTGCTCATTTTGTCAAAAGCCCTTTCATTGAATGTGGGAAATCTGTAAAACGGAACCTCAATAAATAAATAACGATTTTTAATTTAAGAACCCAGAAAAAAATGTTAATGATTCTCATTCAGATTTCTTATCAAAAGTCAGTGTGAAATATAACTAATTTATCGCAAGCAATTTTATCAGAAACTGTTCATTATTTTTTCCCTCATTAAAAAAAAACCAAACTGCCTTTACGTGCGCTTTCAACAATGTTAGAAACATAAGCATATTCAAATTTTTGTACCACATATAACACTTTCCATGAACCTTCAGATATTAAGTAATGCTTGGATCCTGAATTCTTTGTAAAGCCGTTTTTAAGAGGTAAATATCTTCACGACCGCCAAGTGGGAGAAAAATATTTCAAAGTTCGTCTCTTAAGTCACTACGTGGAATGCAAAGGAACTCAACTGCAGCTATGTGTTTATTTTTAATGGCACGATCCTAAAAACATCTTCAGGAGTTTAGGTTTGCTTCACTGCCTTTTCCTAAATTCAGAGGCTTTGATTTACCTTTTCCAAGAAGACAGGAAGCCAATAAACAGGGAAAAAAAGCAAAGGGCGACAATTACGAGGTCATGAAACCCCACGACCGCCCAGCTGAAAACAAGACCTCGGGTTTGCACTGCGGCTCTCCAGGGCAGACACTGACCTTAGAGTCTGCGAAACGCCCACGCTCCACGTAACTTTCTCTGAAACATTTCTCTGGAAAGCTGGCCTTTTCCTAGCCGAATCCGGATTAACAGGGCTTCCGGAACTCGCGGGCTTCCGGAGCGACACAGGAGCCGGAAGTGGCTGAAAAAAAAACACAAAAAGTTACACCAACTAGAACTGCGCTTCAGCGCTGCGGAAGGCCGGAGAAGGCCAAACAATCCCGAACGCAGACGAACCGAGGAGCCGAAGGGCCGAGGAGTCGAGGCGGACACCCGCGCGCGATGATTGGTCGGTTGCCAGGAGGAACTCTGTCTCTGATTGGCAGGAGAGTCACGAACCGGTCAGGCCCGGGTCAGGGGCCGCAAGTGAAGAGGCTGCAAGTGTCAAGGGGCCTAGGGGAAGCCGGGGCTTGTGAGGGCTGGGTTTTTTCGGGCTGCGGCCGCCGCCACCACCCTCCGACAAGCGCCGCCGGGTGGTGGCCAGGAGCCTCCGCACTTCTGGGGTGCCTTATTCGCTGTAGGAGGAGGACCGGCCGAGGGATGGCCTGCTTGGGAGAGAGCCCTCGACAGGTGGCCGCGTCGGGCCTGCGGCAGTTGCGCGGCTCTCGGAGACCTGCCGGTCCTCAGGGTCCGTGTGCACAGGGAAGGGCAGCCTGTTGATCTCTGCGGGCTCAGGAAGGCAGGTGGCTCGCCGGTCAGTTATCTGCCCGGCCAAGCGCTCCCTGGAGACCCCGTAGTGCAGACCGGACGCGCGCTCGCCTTCCGGGCAGCCCGCGCCTGGCCTCAGGTTTCCCGCCCCCAGAGGCCGTCAGATCCCCCCAGTCACACTTAGGAACGCGAGCAGCCGGGTCTCCGACCCCTGGGGAGTGGAGGCAGAGTTCCTGAAGTGGGGTCTGAGGGAGGAGTGCTCAGCAGGCAGTGACGTGTAGCCGGCGCTGACGATCGCCGCTGCCTTCTCGTTCTGAGGTACGGTTGGCAGCGTCTCCCTGGAGAGTTCTGTTGGGATGGACGCAGGCTCTCCGGGATTCCAGCACAGAGGAGGGTTTAAGACCTTCTTAGTTCTTGCCCCCAGTGTCGACCCCCCGTCCCTCCAAGGAGCACTCAACTTCTAGGAAAGCTCTCTTAGACATTCGAGGGAGAGCTTATCCTGTAGAAACGGTGTTATTAGAAAAGTTTTTTTTTTTTTTTTTTTTTGCTTGTATTTTTATTTCATAAACTACCGGTGGAGCAGGCTTGCTAAACTCATCCTATAAAATATTACGGCCAGATAAAGGAAAATTTATTAATGAACTCTAATGCTATCCAAATTGTGCAACAATGGTACAAACGAGATAAGAGTAGAAGCTGTAAGTTGATGGGGTGTGTAGCTCACGGGTTTGGGAGTGGATTTTCTAGAGCTGCAGCTGTCCAATACAGTAGTCACTGGCCACCTGAAAAGTGGCGAGTCTGGACTGAGTTCTGCTCTAACTGTAGAACATGCACCGGATTTCTAAAGCATGGTCTGAAAAGAAAAAGAGTGTAAAATATTTCATTAATTTTATACTGATTACATGTCAAAATGAGAATGTTTTGGAAAAATTTAAATTATATATGTGGTTTCCATTGTATTTCTAATAGATACTGCAGTTCTAGAGAGTAAGAAAATCTCGTTGAAGAAGAGTACACCCTTTATTTAGCCATTGTGAAGAAAAGCAACCACGCTGTACCTCTCAGGTAGCCTGCAGATGTACTGTGCTTCACTTAATTTTTGAGGGGAGGGGGGGAATACACACAAAGACTTGACATAAAGGGCATTTTCAGACAATAGGTTCTGGTTCATAGAGCCTTATGTAGGTCATGTGAACATCACACAGTATCGAATGAAAATAATAAAGGTATCAAGAAACTTGAAACATGTTTAGTAAATCTCAAGAATGTGGGGAAACATATAACACTTAAAATTCAATTCTAGATTTTAATGTTTAACCTGTAGATATGTTTGTTTTTCCATGAGCTAGTGAGCTAAGGTTCCAGGGAAGCTTTATTTGCAGTTTCTTACACTTTAGAGGTAAATATTTATTTTTCATTCGTTTATTTAACAAAAGCTTGCTTGCTGAGGCCAGGAAGTTTTGCTAGGTAGTGTTGATAAAAATATGAAGACAGAAAACAGACATGGCTTTTACTGTCTGAAAACTAATTCATATTAATTCAGAGACATTGAATAAGTAAATAATAACCGCAACATAGAATATCTTGCTGCTTCTGCTTTTTTTTTTTTTTTTTTTTTTTGAGACGGAGTTTCGCTCTTGTTACCCAGGCTGGAGTGCAATGGTGCAATCTCCGCTCACTGCAACCTCCGCCTCCTGGGTTCGGGCAATTCTCCTGCCTCACTAAAAATATTTTGCTTCTTAGTAAGTGCTTGCCTCTGTAAATGCAAAATATGACTTATTTTAAACCTAGAATTTATATATTCCTAGTGACATGTTAAGAGTCTTTATTAGTGGCCAGGAATGGTGGCTCACGCCTATAATCCCAGCACTTTGGGAGGCCGAAGTGGGCGGATCATGAGGTTAGGAAATCGAGACCATCCTGGCCAACATGGTGAAACTCCATCTCTACTAAAAAAAAAAAAAAAAAAAAAAAAAAAAAAAAAAAAAAATAGCCAGGCATGGTGGTAGTCACCTAGTCACCTGTAATCCTAGCTACTGAGGAAGCTGAGGCAGAAGAATTGCTTGAACCCAGGAGGCAGAGGTTGCAGTGAGCCCAGATCACACAGCTGCATTTCTGCCTGGTGACAGAGCGAGACTCCATCTCAAAAAAAAAAAAAAAAAAAAAAAGTCTTCATATTAATACTTGGCTGTGGACTTAAAAAAATTGGGGAAAAATATCAGAGTTAATTTGTTCATTAATTTAATTTATTTAATTGAATCTGTATTTAAATACATAGAAAAGATGAAAATATTTCATAATATTATATCCTCTTTAGCCTTTTAGCAACTTTTAGATTCTAATGATTTAATAATGGAAATGTAAATAAGACATTGCTTCATGCCCTAATTAGTTTTAAAATGCTGACTTTAAGAAGTTAAATTTATTTTAGAATGTTACATAATTTGTAAATCAATATGTTTGAATCTTTTAGGAAAAAGGCATAGATCTTATATTAGTTTACTATTAATTCTATTTCTGTAACCAAGTTAGAAGCTCAAAACACTACCAATATATTACCTTACAGTTCTGTAGGTCAAAAGTCCAACATGGTTCTCAAAGGCCTAGAATCAAGGTGTCCACAGGCCTGTGTTCCTTTCTAGAGGGTTAAGTGAAGAATCTGAATTTTTGCTTATTCAAGTTGTTGGATAAACTCCGTCCCTTGCTGCTGTAGCTGTTGTTCTGTTTCTTTGCTGGCTGTCAACTGAGAGCTGTTTCCAGCTTCTGGAGGCCACTCATGGTCCTTGGTTATGGCCATCTTCATCTTCAAAGTCAGTGTCAGTGGATTGAGACCCTTTCATCCTTCTAAATATTTCCTTCTTCTTCCATTGTTGTATCTCTCCAATTACAGCCTTTTAAGAATCCATTGATTAGACTGAACCTCCCCCTCTCAAGTTTCATACTTTAATTACATCTGCTATTCCCTTTTGCCATAATAATGTAACATATTCACAGGTTCCAGGGATTGGGATATGGATTTAGGAGCCATTATTCTTCCTACCTTAGATCTCAATTGGGGCCATGCAGTATATCCAGTATTTCATACCACTGTTCTCAATACTTTATGTTAGAATGATGATATTGATAATAGGTGAATTTTATTGGTTATGTAATATGCTCAAGGTACTTTTCTGAGCCCTTTTACTGAATTCACTCGTTTAATCCTCAGAACTACCCTAGGAGGCAAATACTATTATTATTCCTGCTTACAGATAAGGAAACAAATACTGAGAGCTGAAGTAACTTGTCAAATTTCTTACAGTTATTAAATGGTGAAATGGTGATTTGAACCTAGGCAGTCTGGTTCCAGAGCTTGTGTATGCTCTGAACCTCAAGATAATAAAGATAGCCGGGCGCGGTGGCTCAAGCCTGTAATCCCAGCACTTTGGGAGGCTGAGACGGGTGGATCATGAGGTCAAGGGATCGAGACCATCCTGGTCAACATGGTGAAACCCCGTCTCTACTAAAATACAAAAAAATTAGCTGGGCATGGTGGCGTGTGCCTATAATCCCAGCTACTCAGGAGGCTGAGGCAGGAGAATTGCCTGAACCCAGGAGGCGGAGGTTGCGGTGAGCCGAGATCGCGTCATTGCACTCCAGCCTGGGTAACAAGAGCGAAACTCCGTCTCAAAAAAAAAAAAAAAAAAAAGATAATTTCTACATATCTGTATTTAACTAAACATGTGTTGATCGTGGCTATGAGTTCAGCTTCTGACGTCACATTGTGGCTTCAAATTCTACCTACCTGTTACTGAATGACCCTGGGCAAGTTACTTAACCTCTCTGTGACTTAACAATAAACTAAACTGAACCAATAATAACACTTGAGAATTAAACAAATACTATATGTTAGGTACTTAGAACACTGCCTCTACATATAGTCTTCAATTTCGTGATGATAGGGATATGTTTTGAGAAGTGCGTCAGTAGGTTATTTTGTTGTGTGAACATCATAGAGTATGCTTAAACAAACCTAGATGGTGTAGTCTACTATACACTTAGGCTATACGGGATAACCTTTTGCTCCTATGCTACAAATGTGCGCAGCATGTTACTGTACTGAGTACCATGGTAAGTATTTGTGTATGTAAACATGTCTAAACATAGAAAAAGTACAGTAAAAATATAGTATTATAATCTTATGGGACCACTGTTGTATATGTGGGCTATCATTGACTGAAACATTATACACTGCAAGCAATTGCTACCTATAATTAATGATGACAATTCAACTTTTAAAAACAGTATTTATTATAAAAACAAATGTCTCCTTTAGATATCAGTCTCTTCTTGTGAAATAAAAAACTGAAGATTAAAATTTTAACTTTAATGCACTACAGTGCTATCTTTTTTTCTCAGACTCTGATTTCTCCTTACTCCAGTCTAGCATCTATCTTTCTAATGATGGTACTTTCAGTGTTACCTGATCATGCATTCTGAACACTTTGTCCAGATCCTAGTATCTGCAGGCTAATGTTCAACTCTCTAGAAGGACACCAGGACTTTTCACGCATTCCAGAGACTCTTGCCAATCTTCTGCTGGATATTGATACAGCCATCAATTCTAACTTCTCACTGTTCTGATTTGCTGTTATTCTTTGTGGAGACCCATGTGTGTGGACGGGATTGTGGGGGTATGGACAATGACATATCCTGGGTCCCTGTCCATACTGCCTGCTAATAACACTCCAAATTCACTCTCTCTCCTAATAATCTTCCCTGCAGTTGCCTTAATTTCAAACTCTTATTATCCCTGCACTTTAAGTCATCTCTTAACAAATTGGTGGCTTCCAGCCTCCCTACCCTTCAGGTTCAGTGTCCTCTTTGCTTGCTGGAATGATCTCTACACTAAAAACTCTATGTGTCACTCTCCTTCTTCAAACCATTTGGTGTCCCCTCTGCCAGTTACTACAAATATTACTCTTTTTTTTCTGTGCCTCTTGGCACCAGCTACATGCTTCTACTGTAACTCATAAGGTATCCCACAGTTGTTCATTTAAGTACTTGTCTTCCCTTCTAAATCAGGAACTCATTGAGAATAGGGCCGTAAGAGATGGTTTTGTTTGAAATAATTTATATTATTTCATAATAACATAAATTATTGTATTATTGTGTCATCTGTCTTATGTCACTAATCTGTGAATTCATTAAGGGGGGACTCATTGTTTTATTCATTTCTGTTTTTCCTCTGTACCTGTGGCATATGAGGTACTTAGTAAATAATTGGTCAATGAATGATTTGGAAAAAAATAATCCAGAATATATACA